AAAAATCAAGCTTATCGAATGAGTAAATTGGATCAGGAAGAATCAGGTTTCTAAGGCTGTGCCCCTTTAGCCTGGCTATTTGCCGGGATGGGATTTAGGGAGAGATTCGGCAGCGTGTGGATGTTTGGGGACGATGGGAGGTGGAAACAGAATACGCTTGACAAACACAAAATATGGGAAAGAAAACAGTCCCACCGACTGTCCACCACAGGTTATACTGATCATTTCCCCTCCCCCCCGAAAAGCCCTCCTCCATTCACCCCACCCCCATCGATTTTATTGCCGAGCCAGGGAGGGAGGGTCAACTCCGAGGAGTGGCCCCGCCACCGGCTAGACTCGATGGAATTTTGATTCGTTGGTGTTAGGATTGCCTTTTCGTTGGCCTTTCTTGCAAAGGTTCCTAAAGGGGGTGGGGCAATGACAGCTTTAAAAATTAGCCTTTTTGACAACGCTTTCCAATTAATAACATTTTGATGAATAAACTAAATTTAATGAGAAACATGGAAAGAATCCTAAAGCTCGAGTCAAAGTATGAGAAAGAGTTCGAAAAGATAACCCTTGAGTCTGGTTCAAAAACTGTCGCCCAAAAGCCAAGGGTGGTGCTTTCCCCATTATCCGGGGGAGGTACCCGTGGGGATCCGAATTTTGTATGGGTCCACAAATGCTTACTACCAAGTAATTAGTGTTTTAATCGTGTTTTCAGGAAAATTTAGCGGTTTTTAGGGTATAAAACTATCCTAAAAACTTCAAAACATTCAAGATTCATAGAAAAAACCCCGATTTTTAAAACTTTTGATAAATGTTTTAAAAAACTATAGAAAAAAACAGTAAAAAATTCAATAGTGACAGTGTAGAAACAAGCCTTCCTTGGTTTGCACGAAATTTGGTTTTGATCTACACCGTTCCCTCCCCCACCCCCGATCATGCAAAAGAGCCTGCTATTAATTATGGCCAATAAAAATTGTATAGCTAGTTTCGAAACGCTTTGAAACCCTTAAAAAATCGGGAAGCGCCCGAAAAAGATCAACGAGCTTAAAAAAGCTAAACAGCAAAAAAACTACAGTAGTGACGCGCGAGAATAAATATGTCAACTGAAACGGAGGAAAAGCGCGCCGATTACGCGCGGTTATTCCCCCCTGGAAGGAGGGAGAGGAGGAGCTGTGTGGACAGCCAGAGGAGCCCCGTTTTTTGAGCAGGATCTTTTCCGGGCTGGGGGTAGAGGGCAGAGGGTGCAGACGGACAAACATCGCCTCGCACTTTTTTTTGCCCTTGAAATGGCGTCCAGCGGGTGCCGGGTTTGATGGTCAACGCCTAGTTTTGAAGCAACACTTTGTCACATTTAAATTAGGCAAAAACTACAATTTAAGAAATATAACTTGTCTTGCAAGTCTATTTTTGGGGTTTATTTTCACCCCAAAAAATCCGAAAATCTAAACTTTTGAAAAACAGAAAAAGGTTTCAAAAGTCGAAAAGTTGGTTATTTCGAACGGCATAAAAAAATCGTTGTTTATACCGAAAAATGTTCGAGAAAAGTTCAAAAAGTACTTTCCGAGGGGTCTGAATGACCTTGGGTTGAGTATGATGTTTTTGTAAACAATTACTTTGTCCGCTTTTTGGCATCCGCGTACACCAACTTGCGCAGTTTTCAGTGGAGCTTATTAAGATTTTTACCTCTGTTTGGACGTGAAAATGGCGGATTTTGAAAAGCCTCATGTCCGCCACTCCTCTCCCCCTCTATCTCTCTCTCTCTCTCTCTCTCTGTCTCTCTCACTCTTCTCTTCCTTTCGCGCTCTCTCTCTTTATCGCTCTCTCTCTCTCACCACGTTTTTCTGAAGCCCTCACACACGTTCTCACTAGTTTTGGTGTCTTTTTAGGTGTAAATCAATCTTCAGCAAGAAGAAATAGAACTTTATCTCGCGCTCAATGCCTGCCCAGCTCATTGTTGTGTTTAATGTAGGAGATGAGCATGTTATAGAGCAGCTGCACCATATTCGTGTAGACGACACGGAACTGCGGGGGTAGGAACATGAAGTTGACGAATTGAAACGGGGGCCACGTTACGCAGTCCAACTGAAAAATGATGTTGCTCATCGAGTTTTAACGGGACAGACAAGGCAAGAATATGGATGCGCAAATTTACGGATTTACGGAGAGAGATAGAGAGAGAGAGAGAGAGAGAGAGAGAGAGAGGGGGGAGAGAGAGCGAGAGGGAGAGAGGGAGAGGGAGAGAGGGAGAGGGAGAGAGGGAGAGAGCGAGAGGGAGAGAGGGAGGGGGCGAGCGAGCGATGGGTGAGAAACAACTAAAAACACTCACCATAAAAATGTGGATAAACTTTCGTCGGTATTCCGCCAGCCCTTCGCGCAGTGTGTGCCCCTCCATGAGGCCGACGCCTGTAAGGCAGTGTATTTTAAAGGGACTAGGAAGCGGCAGAATCTAATTCTTCCGTCAACCAGGTCTTGACACCCACCACAAATCGTCGTAACGGTAAAAAGCGGAGCCGAAGAGACGTCGATAGCACATTTCTGGAGTGCAACGGCAAGCCTTGGGCCTCGAAAGCGGACGTGGAAGTCCATGAATCGGTACATGAAGTGAAGCATCGGGCCCTGGAGGAGGCCGCAGGCCGCGAACCTTCCTGGAAAAACGGGGGGTAGGGATCTTGCTTTTAAAGCACCGAAAATGTTTTAAAGCGATTAGGAAGCTCCAAAATCGGCCATATCCGCGGCTAGGTCTCGACAATACGTGTTGTTCCAAAGTACGGCAACGGCGACAGTACACGTCTCTGCGTCTCTCCCTCTCTCTCTCGCTCTCTCTATCTCTCTCGCTCTCCTTCTCTCTCGCTCAAAAGCCACCGAGTCCACTTTGTATAGGCGTTCGGTCTAGGGAAGGGGTGGAGAAGATGGTGGGACTCAATTAAATAGATTAGCAAGGAGAAGGAGAAGGGTTAAGCGAGACAGAGAAAGAGACAAAGAGAGAGAAAGACAGAAAGAGAAAGACAGAGAGAGAGAGAGAGAGAGAGAGAGAGAGAGAGAAAGTGCGATCCTCTAGGGAAATCAACCTCCACCCACCTCGTCTTGCTTTTTCTATTTTTTTTGTGGGTTGCGGCGTCATTGGTTTCTGGAACTGCGGTGGCGAGGTAGACAGAACGAAAGAGAGAGACAGAGAGAGAGAGCGAGCGAGAGAGATATACAGAAAAAATTCGTTCTCCGGAAGGAGGTTTTGGTGCAAGTTTTGCAAGTGATAGCATCAAAAAAAAGCCAAGTTTCCAGTAAAGGACTATGAAGCAAAAGATTCGACCCCTCGCAGAGACGCTTTCAATGAACGGGCAACGTGACGCTCCAAATGACGCGGAAATAGGCGTAGAAAAACAATCGCCGGAAAAACGCTTCAGGCTTCAGGAAACGTAAAAATGGTTCTCTCACCTGTCCTCCTCCAATCCCACGGCCGTCCTGGATCCCTCGGATCCCAGGAACCCTGGATAAGTTGTTGGAGAGCATCGGCCGATCCGAGAATCCCACACGACACTCCGGTGTTTGCGGCTAACTTGTAACGACCCGAGAACACGTTCCGGAAGAGCTGAAAGGAGGACTTCACAGGGTTAAGGAACTGTCGGAATCGATCCTTGCGACGACTAGGTCTAGACAACTCCACGGGAGACCAAAATACGCTTACCGCACGTTAGCTTTGTCGAAATTTTTAATTCTAAGATTGAATAATGAGCAGGTAGCTACTGTCGAGAGCTAGTCGAAGTTAGGGACCGATTCAGGGTCTTTTTAAACGTTTTAAAGGGAGATTCTTGGTAATTTCTAAGCGCGAGCATAGAAGTATAGAAGCGAGAAACAGATAGAGAGAACATGGTGAGACAGATAGAGCACAAGGGAGAGGGAGAGGGAGGGCGAGATAACGTGAGAGCGAGGGAGCCAGAGAGAGAGAGAGGAGGAGAGAGAGAGAGAGATAGAACCTCCGATACCTCAAATAATGTACTTCGGATACCTGTAAAACCGTGGGCATCGGCTGTTCGCGCCTAGCCAGAGTCAACATCGACCGTCCTCGCGCGGCAACTGAATGTTAGGTTTTGCGGTATTTTGTGGGCTAATGTTAAGGATGATTTTTGGGCTAGAATCTGGTCACTGGGACCCAACGCTAAAATTCCGGGATGCTCCTCTTACCATGGGAGGTTGGTTTTTGAGGGTAGTGGACGAAATTCAAGGCGCCAGAGACCCGGAGAGGTTCTTTTTGTCACCCAAGGCGTCGTCGATCTAATGGAATTGAAATTCAGGCACAGAAACCACGAAAATCATCAGAGATTTGAGGGTTAGGGCTTGTATTTTGGGATGTTTGAACGCTACTAACGATGTCTTCTAAAAATTACCTGGGCATGGTGGTCGAAAATCTCAAAAGGATGCTGTTGAAAAATCCAGGTCGGAAGCAATGGTTTGTAAACGGCTTCTGATTCTCTGGCTTGATGGGTAGGGGTGTAACAAGCGGACTTCTTGCCTAAAAAAGATTTTAGTTGCAAAAAAAAAAAAAAAAAGAAAAAAAAAAAAAAAAAAAAAAAAAAAAAAAAAAAAAAAGAGGGAGAGAGAGAGAGAGAGAGAGAGAAGGGAGAGAGGGAGAGAAGAGAGAGAGAGAGAGAGAGAGAGAGAGAGAGAGAAGAGAGAGAGAGAGGGGAGAGTGACGAGCGCCAAAATAACGACAGCAAAAATGCCTACAAGCAAAAACCTCGACATGTTTTCGACGCTGGTTTGAATATCGCCATTTTCGCAATTGGGATTTTGGCTGTCGGGATTATGGCTGTCGAGATTTCGGCCTTTAAAATTACGACTGTCGGGATTTTGGCTGTCGGGCATTATGGTCATCGGGATTTTAGCGTTTTCCAGCCGCATCCGGCTAGTCGTGTTTTTAAAGGGAGTGTGCCAGTAAGAACAGCTCATTTAGTAAAAGCCCTACAAATTCCGACGTCAATCTCTATAAAGTGACGGTAATAACGCAGCGTAGCGTTGTGCAACTTAATGGCGCCTCTCGGATAGAAGGTCATATAATTAAAAAGCCCGCGGAAACAGTTGTGGCCCATTTGAAAGGGGAGGAGACGCCATCGTGCCGGCTAGCAATTTGCTTCTTCTCCCCCCTTCTGTCTTCTGTGCTTCGTCTACCCTCCACCCCCAAGGGATTTCGAGCCCGAGTGGACTCGAAAAAATGGAAATGAGAGGAGGAAAGTGGGAAGAGAGGAGGATAATTGAATTCGAAGGAGGAGGAGGTCTCTAGATGTTGGTAGGAAACAGAAGGAGAAAGAATAGAAGAGGTCGAAGCAAAGCAGGAACAAACTTAGCGGTGACGCCACCCACGCACTTTCTGGTGGAAAGCATGGTTTGGGTCAGGAAAGGTAAAAACTGCCCGGGTTATCGCAAATCCATTCGGATCGCTGATTCTCAAAAAATACCGACAGCCGGTATCCCCAAAGTCTAAATGTCGACAGCGGAAATGTTGACACGCAGAAAACTAAATTATACTTATAAATTACTATAATTTTATGCACGGAACATTCTTCGCCGGAATCTCGACTGTGGGAACTTTGGCTTGTCGGTATTTTGCTTGCCGGCATTTTGGGTTGTCAGCATTATGGCCCGCTATGATTTAACGGGACTCGAAACGCAAATTTTGACGCAATTCCGGGGGCAAGTGTTTCGGCGTTCTTGGCTTCTCGGTATTTTTATTCGCTGATTCTGAATGTCGGCATTCCGGCTCGAGATTTTGTGCGAGAAACGAAAGGCAAAGTGCATAGAGCCTTTTTGTATTGGGATTTTTCTTGTCGGCATTTAGTAGTCGCTATTTTGGTTGTCCTTTCGGTACTTGTCCTTTAATTACCAGAAAAATACCGACACACAAACTGGATAAAACAGGACATCCACGATGAAATTGGATCCAGAAGATCGGCTTTAAGCTCTTTGGCATTTCGTCTGTGCGTCGGCGTTTTTTCTGTAGGCCGCTGGCTGCCGACATGTTCGGCGTTTGCATTTGATATGTCGGTATTTCGTTACATCATTTGAAAAATGCACATTGCCAGCTCCGAAAAATCCCTGCATACCTCAAATTTCGAGCAGCGCGCGCGCAACCTGGTCGGGAATCATCTACCCCGTGATTCGGAGAGGATAGCCAAATTTTTCAGGTTTTTCTGATTAGAGAAGGTGGTGGATGTGCCCTGAGGGCACATTCATCCCCCGCCGAGCATCTCCTCCCCCGTATCATCTTCGTCGTCGTCTCGATTGGAATGGGGGGACCGGTGCCAAGTGTTTGCCTCCAATCCCCCTTCTTTTCATCCACTCGATTTGATAGCCGGTGGGCAGCATTTCTGCACCACCCCCCACGTACGATCTAATCCATCTTTGTAGCGCTTATTTTTTGCCGAAGGCCTGGGCATTCGTTACGCCGTTACGTTACGTTTTCTCCCGGTTTTTGTGTCACCATCCCTTTAAAGAAACTTAAAGACCTGTTCGATTCCTCTTTGTAACGCTTGTTTTCTTCGCTGATGTCCGAAGTATCCAGTTACGCTTTGAAAACGACGCTTTACGCCAGTTTGATCAGTATTTTGCCGACGGTATCGTCCCTTTAATGGTACTCCTAATGCCTTCTTTCGATAGGTAAATGTGAAATGTTATTAGCACTTTTTTGCGGACTGAATTGTTATCGGAATTTCTAATTGTAGCGCTTGTTTCGGCAAATATTTAAGGTATTTGATTACGCAATGAAACGGACAACGCTTTACTGTTCCACTGTTGTCACCGTCCCTTTAATGGAACCATTTACTTTCTTTTATTTATCTGCATCCTGTCACTACGTTTCAAAGGGACTGACAAGGCACCTTTTGGAGTACTAAATTTTTGCCAATTTTCACCATTCCATGGCGTAATGGATTGCCAACGGGGCCCCAGATCCGATAAATCCCTCCCCCCTTCCCTTACATCCCTTAAATGGGGCTTGGAAGCGCCAAAAACAGACGCCTTCCTGTCAACTAGGTCTCGACAGCGCAGTTTCCGGGGTTTAAAAGCAAAGTGAAACATGGAATTTCTCTACCTTCGTGGCTGTCGAGACCTAAGCCGGATCAAAGAGTTCATCCTTGGGTTTTCTGGATTTTTCAAACAAAAAAAAACCGTGTGGAGGAGACATTGTACCCCGAAACATCGCATATACACCACGGTATCCAATTGCCAAGGACCATTTCTTCGATAGGCATTCGCCCCTGCTTTTCCGGGAATGCGCCTGGATTGGGGGTGGACAAAGGCGTTGTTCGGAATCGGCTAGGCAGGGGGATGGGTGGGTCCTTCTCCGCTTTCTGGTAAGATGATCCCCCTTCTCCACCACGAATGACCATTCTACACACAGGCCCATCCCCCACTTCCGGTTGCTGGAATTTGTGGAATTTTACCGAATTTTAAAGTTGAATTTGCTTAATATTCAATCCAGCCATTTTCATTGCACCTTGGACCTTGCCCCGTTATCCCGCGGAAGCCGTCTATTCATAGTTCTCGTTCTCGTTCCTTCTCTCTCTCTCTCTCTCTCTCTCTCTCTCTCTCTCTCTCTCTCTTCAGTCGACCGTCCGACCAAAGCTTCTTACCCCGCTGCTTTGCATATTCCAAACCACGAGGTCGGGCGCACAGCACTGGTGGTCACAAAATAGCACCCGGTCTCTCTCTCTATCTTTCTCTTTCTCTTTCTATCTCGCTCTCTCTCTCGTTCTCTCGCTTTTTGGCTGCTTAAAATCCATATAAAACTCAAACTGACCATTCTGGACTCCCCTATATGTTGCGTATATGTCCAGCCGTTCCTTCCGCCCTCGAGTCCAAATTGGGTGTCATATTTCTTCTGTCCGGCAAGTGCCAATCCCCCTCCCTCCCTCCTCCCTCTCTCTCTCTCTCTCTCTCTCTCTCTCTCTCTCTCTCTCCTCTCTCTCTCTCTCACGCTCCCTCACTGTTTGTTTGTATTTGCGTGTGTCGATCTGTCTGCCCGGATTTGCTCAGCTGTGCGTTGGCACAAGATGGCGCTCCGATTCCCTCTCCTTCACTTTACCGTCCCCTGAGCAGTGTCCCCCGCTAGCTATCGTATAAAATACGACCCCACCACTAACCGTCCTGGGCCAGCTGCTCGCAATTGTGCCTAGGTTCGCGGAAATTTGAATTTTCGCAGTTAGCTGTTTCTCTCTCTCTCTCTCTCTCGCTCTCGTTCTCCTATCTCTCGTCCTCTCTAACTCTCGTCAAAAATATCTCCATTTTCTCGCCTATGTATCTCTGGCTACATCATATCTTCGCACTCACCCTCTCACTTTCTCACTCTCGCACTCACGTTCTGGTTCTTGCACTATCTCCCCTTCTCATTTTCTTGCTCCCTCGCTTCTCCTTGAAATATAACTTTTGACATAATTTCGTCAAAAAGTAAAAATAACTCCAAATGCCGCTACAAAAATCCAGTCCTTCCATGTTTCCTCCCTACCCTCAACACCGTAACCCGATCCTTCGCTTCAAAAAGTAAAAAATTCTCGACCGTGACAGGATTCGAACCTGCAATCTTCGGATCCGAAGTCCGACGCCTTATCCATTAGGCCACACGGTCAGCCGGGGTGTTGCCCACAAATGGGCATTTTCAGGGAGAGGAGGGGGAGGACCCAGAGGAGCCGGATTAGACGTTACAGAAGAAGGAGAGGAAGAAGCAGAGAGGGGTGGGTCCTCTGGGCCTCTTCCCCCTCTCTCTCTCTCTCTCTCTCTCTCTCTCGCCTTCGGAAGGGCCCAATTATGCGCAAATCGGAGGGATTTTCCGGGAGACCGGACCCGTCTTTATGAAGGGGGAGGAGGAGGACAGGGCGGGACTGAGGCGCGGATTGGCCTCATTTCCACTCGCTCTGCGGTTTGTTTGGACGAAAATTCGAATTTTGTAGCCCTGCATTCAAATTTAGCATCTAAAATATCGTATTCAAAGGACAAATTGGAGCTATTTCATGTTTCTAATATTTCCTGAATTGTCTCTGCTAGCCTACCCTTTTTTATTAATAC